TTGCACTTGTCCTTATGCAAGACATGGGCCTTGGGAACGCTCATACATCCTACCATCTAGCAAGTGAGTTCAGCAAAAATGACTGAAAGAGAAGACAGAGGATACTCATGTATTTTGCCTTACTAAGGACAGGCTCTACAGCCTTAAAGTCCTTATGAATCCCAGCGTGTGCAGGGCACTTGGGAATCTCTGGTCCCTCTTCCTCCTCATCAGCCTCTCCCACAGCATCTTCACTGGCCTCTTCCTGACCATCATCCATCGCAAAGTCTTCTCCAGCGGCCTCCTTCTCCTTTCCCTTGCCTTTTTTCTTCAACTGCTTCTCCTCTTCTAAACGTGTGCATTCCTTGGCCTGGCATTCAGCCTCAATCTTGAAAGTGTGTATTTGCTCATGGAAGTGAACATGCGCCTCTTCAGCCTTACGACCCTTTGCACTCTCCTCAGGAGCAAGGGCAAGGCTCAAATTATGGGTCTTGCCATCCATCAAGCACCTTTCTAAGTCAGCATGAAAGACCATTAGAAAGGGCAGTAAGTGCGCAAAGGTACAAAAAGCACTCACCAATAGCTTGACCCAATCATGGCACCACTCTTCCTTGCGAGCCATCAGATCAGGTCAATCTTCAGGCATAAGGTCGGCCAAGTTGACCATGTGGGTGTGTAACTCAGCAAACGCACGCTGGATTCTGTTGGCAGCAGGGTCAACAACATTGGAAAAGTCGAAAGTAAAGGTAGACATGTTATCAATGGTAGAGATGAGAGATAGGAAAAGAAGTAAGAGGAACTTATAGGGAAGCATGATTGTGTCCACACTTCTTCCATTGTCCGCACGAAAATCACCAAACTCCACACTCCACATCTCTATTCAATCTGGAACCAGTCCATGAACTCTACCATACCTGGAATTCCACAGTCACGTGCCCTCATAGATGCAAAAATTCTGCCAAGTCCAAGTCCCAATGTGTGACTGACTGGGGACAGTCAGTATTTGAGTCTCCCACAGATGTGACAATCATACCAGCACTAGGCACATATGATCAATAGCACAGTTTTTCTCACCTTCAGAAAAAGGAGATAAAGCGCAGATCATTAAATCCATATATATTGACCCATCCGCTCTTACTCCAGTCCAGTCCTAGGAATCTGCCCTCCCATGTCCTATCCATGTCCACCTATCTCCACTGGTGTGTTATTTTCCCAAATGTCATTGCTAAACAAGCTGCAGGTCTTATTACACAACTACTCACGTTCCACAGCACATGATGTTTTATTACCTATAGACTCATTGCGCACTTGCTAACTATGCTACAATTCTCGCCTATGCATTCCGGACATTCACGCACTATGATATAAATGACTGCAGTACATACAATGGGGTAGTTTTTTTTCCCCCTGGAATCAGTTCTATAGGAGAGTTGTTCTCACATTATTTTTGTAGACCTTGCGCTATCCATCTATTTTGTTCCTTCCTGACAATCCTGCACAATTCAACTGTTCTGAAGTCCATACCACTAGGATCTTACCCTTAAAAGCTCTGCAAGAAGACTCAACCCGTGACTGGTAGTTTAATGCTGTTCTTCACTCGTGCTATATCCCTTGCAACCAGCCACTCCATAGAGTGCAGTTGATTTTTGCCTGCACTCCTGGTTGATTCCTTGGTATAGGAATTCAGAGGTATACCTATGGCCAGCGTTCAAGTTTCTTAGGCCAATATAGATTATAACTCCTTTGCTCACTTACTTCCCTTGCACATAATTGAAGGAAGTGCTTCAATAGCAGTCCTCTCGGGCCGATCAATTAAACTTGCACCTCTTAGGGTAAGAAGTGCTAGTTGCTAACCGCCTAGTACCATTTTCTTCTTCACACCGCAAACTTTGAGAATGTCTCAGTAGATAATCCAACTTATCCATGGCCGTCAAAAGCAGTAAGTTTCTCATCCTGTCAGAAAACCAATGCTTACCTTTCATCAAGCATTTTATAACATTGCTTCTTTTCAGCTCTCCATGCATCCCATTTTCTGACTCCCAGAAGAGAGCTGTGCTCAACTGGGCCAAAGAGCTCAGCGCCGCCAATGTCCTGTCACTCAGTGCAATGAAGAAGTGCCATAATTACCTGGATGAGCTTGTTGGCAATCCAACTCAGAAGATGACATCGCGTGCTGGTGATGTATTCTATATCAATAATGTCGTGGAAGCAATTGCAAAGGTACGTCTAGCATGTCTTTCATGTCTGTTCAACAATGATATTACACTCAGGATTATGCAAATCCACCTACACGTTTTGCAATGCATGATTATCCTGAGGATGGTGGCGAGGGGATGTCACAGGTCTTTAATGGCCAGAAAATGTTATTCAATCTTCTGTCACCACTGGCAGCACCCTTGGCACCACTTCAAAGAGGTTTCCACAGTCTGTTAGAATGGGTTTCATTGTAGGACAAAACCCATCTAACCCACCTCTCCTATGAGGTCCTCAACTAATTCCCTGAGAGGTCTCTTCAACCCTCTCATACATCTATGTTGTTTCATGAGTGCACCAGCTCTCCCTCCCACAGAGGCTTGATCACAGTTCAATGAGCCTCAGATCTTCAGTGGGGGTAGTTATGTTTTTTGTAGCTAATGTGTTACAATGTTATGTCTACAGCAATCTTGCTGTTCGATTTCTGTTTGCACCCTCAGCACTTCAGCTATCCATCCTTCACCTCTTCAGCCACTCATTGAGTCATCTAATACCTGCCCCACTTTCAGTTTACCATCCAAAGCCAAATTGAATGCGAGTTGCTGATCAACCATGGAGTTTCGACCACCAATCATCGCGCTGCCCTCCAGGTCCCTCAGAGTTTACAGCAGCAATTATTTTTCTACAAAGTCAAGTGGGGTCAGAAGCTGCTGCAATGGTGTCAAGGACAGGCTTTGGGTATGTTATCGCTATTTGGTAATGTCCTTGGAATACTGACATGCTTTGATAGATAACCAGGGCTTAGCGCCACCTGGACCACACTTTTACAGTCACCGAATTCCATACTCATCCCCCTACTCCCTATACCACCTACTCCCCATTATGCACATCCTACCCATTGACCCACCAGTCTCTTGTTTTTCTTTTGACCTTGAGTCCCCACCTTGAGTCCCCACCTTGAGTCCCCATGTCTGCCTCTCCTGCCACTCCCATAGCTTGTTCACTCATTGTGAGCTCCTCCACGAACGCTTCATCACCAGACACTTGGATGTTCAACTTTCACCTGGGGAATGGCGACCCTCCTTCTCTCGGAGTGGGAGATACCATTGTTGTCTACAGATGGTTGCCCAAAAATGTTGGCCAGTGGGATGTTCACAGCTATGCCTGCCTTCTCTGGCAGGATCTCTCACATTGCTGGATGGGGCTTGTCAACTGTGGATTTTGGAGTTGAACTCAACTCCATCTTGCCTACCCACCCCATGACCATCCAGTTGCCATGGTCACTGTCTCATCTTTCCTTTCTTCAATGGATCTGGGGATGGCTGTTGCCTTACCCCAGGTGTTCTACCCTTGCACAATATCCAAAACTCATCTTGACTTCACCCCGCATCCTCGGCTCATATGAGAGCCAGTTGTCAAGGACACTCAGCAGAGGAAGCTTGTCCTGGGCTCAGAGAAATGTTTAGTGTACATACCTCAAGTTGTGACTCAAAAATCTTATTCTGACATTGGTTGGACTCCAGTAGTCCACATGTCTAGCTGAGTGTCACGCAATTCCTTTTCCTATCAGTCTCCTTCATCGCTACATCATACAACCTGCTTGCTCATTTACACATTCCTCTTGCTCACTCATCTATTCTGCCATTGTTCCCGCCCCACATCCTTCGAGCACAGCCACACAATGCCATCTAGATCCAATGGTCGACAAGGCTCATGTGGCAGCAGCAGCATTACAACCTTTCACATGGAGTTCTCATGTCACATAGTTGTTTGAAGAGTTTAACCTTTCAGTACCTTGTATTACTTGATAGTTCTGACCCCCCTACTATGTATCAGTCAATCACACTCATTACTCATTCAATAAAATGGGAACATCACAGTAGTATGAGATTCAGAGCAGGAGTCAGTAAAGGAAGATCAACTTGGTGCAAAACAGAGGCTTGTGTGGGTCTGAAGAAAAAAACAAATACCACTGGAATTGAACTGGGGAGCAGGGCATTGCAAAGACCACTGCATGATAACCATAACGCCATGAGTGCTTCCATATATTGCACATCATATGCTATAGAGTATCATAATGTTAACTATGCACCCTCTCAAGTCCCACAAGCTTCTGCAATCAATCACAATGTCTTATCATGGCCTTCTGCATCTTGCAATCAATGGCGATGGGTTTTATCTGCAATGGTCGTGATCCTCCTCTAACCCCCCGCACCTATACATCTTGATCATGGATTTCACCAAACTCAACCATTCCCTCCAACGCATTGCATTGTGGCACAATTTGCCAGTAGAGATGATGTTGGAAAGGTGGCTGAAGAGGCAGGGAGAAATGAATGATCCTAATGCATGGAGAGAGCTTGATGGCATACCATGTATTGTTGGTGGGCTAGCAGTGTTGCTTGGTAAGTGCTGTGGTTGACATCTGTAATAGAATTATAAAGTCAAAATGTTTGCAGGGAAACTTGAAGCGCCAGGGGGATTCTTTCCATGGAAAAGGCTACCTGCTGAACTAGCCCAACATGGCTATGTCCTCCAACACTATCCTGAAGATGTTCTGATGCCTGGGGAGAAATGTGCCACCCTTGCAAAGAGCAAGGGGATACATGACCTTATGCTTTGTGAGCACTGAATCTTTGCTGATGCCCTCAAGAGCAACCTACTCACCGTCAAATCCATCACTGGCAAAGACACCCATGCAAAGCTCATGGCCTCCCATAGGCCTGTCATCATCAGGGAAGCACCTGCACCTGATTCCAACAACAGCTGTGGTCGGTGTTGGTATGCTAACAGTCTTCTTGATAGGAAGGGTCTTCATCGCCTTAAATTCACAGACACCTCTTCTGACACCTCTTCCGACACCTCCCCTGAGCCATCTCCTGCACCAGTGTCTGATGTGCTGCATCCTCATCCTGGTCCTGCATCGCTGGCTTGTGGGTCTTGTACACCACATCCATGTCCTCATCCTTCTCCTTCTCCTGTGCCACATCCTTGTCCTGGTCCTGCATTGCTGGCTCATGGGTCTTGTACACCATGTCCACATCCTCGTTCTTCTCCTGCATCACTGCCTCATCCTGGTCTTGCTCCCATGGCTCTGTCTCCTGTACCATGTCCACAGAGACTAAAGCTATATGTTGAAGTGCTGCTTACCTGACTCTCCTGGCAGTTGGCATTCAATCCAGCACTGCTCCCACTTTCACTGGTAGGTAAACCCAACATCAATGAACTCATCCCGGATATATCCTGCCTTGGGCAGGCTTCACAATATTCTGATGGTGCCACCCATGAGGAAGACAAAGTGGAGGTCAATGAGTTGTTTGGGACCCAGGGAAGTAAAGTTGTGTGCTCTGTATAATAGTGTCATCTGCTTTTTTCCAATTGTTCCCCTCATTTAAGTTTTGATACGTACTCTGTGTGCCTCTCATACTGGATTGTTAGGAACTCACAATTGAATTGATTGAGCCTCTTGCAATGATGTCCTGACCCTCTTAACAAATGACGCAAACACATGAATTCTGAGTTTTCACCCTAACAAATGATGTCCTGAACTACTGGCTAACCAAAGTAGTGTGAAAATGAAAGAATGGACAGTGCAATGTAGTGTGAAAATGAATTAAAGGTCTACAACAAGGGTAGTGCAGGGTGAGCATTTGGAGAGGGTGGGTAGCTCTGGCTCAGGTGGTTGTCATGTGAGTCTTGGTATCTCCTCCAAGGTCCTTGCCTATCCAGATACCCCCTTGTCCTTCCCACATTGTCATGGTAGTGAGGGAGCCACTGATGTTCTTTGACTTCATGAGCATACATGTGATTGGGAATGGGGCTATAGCGACTGGGATATACTGGATGAGTATGATCATGCTCTCTGATGTGTGAATCATGGAAGTTCACAGGATGAAAGTTGTCTTGAGGATGACTACCTTGGTGATAGAAGGTGTCGCATGCATCACAGTCCCAAGGAGATGTATCACACACATATTCACAATGGTGATAGTGAATGGGGTCATGAGGATGGTGAAAGTTGCATGTGTCCAAAGGGTCACAAATATCGCGAGTGTCATACTCACATTCAGTAGGCTCATGGGACAGCTCATGGGACTCAAGCTGCAGTTGCTCTGGGAGATCGTGTGTGAGATGTACACAAGGTGCATGCTGGACAGGCTCAGGAGGGTTCTGCATGCTCTTGTTGGAGAGGCTTTGGGGAGGGTCGTGGCTATGTGGATCAGTAAGACGATCTGGGAGATTGCATGTGAGAGGTACATGAGGTGTGCACTGGACAGGCTCAGGAGGGTTCTGGGGAGGGTTGTGAGGGTCACAGCTACATGAATCAGTGAGATGAGGCTGATGGGGAGCTTCATGTGAAACTTCAGATGATGGTCCAGGCTGATGGATTTGTGGCTGCACTGGAGCATGATGACTGGCAGCACCATCTGAGTCCTGGTGATCCATTATGTTGTCTTGCAATGCATGAGGACCATCTGCAACCTTATTGGTGGGCTCCTCATTGATGTCATTGTCACTCTCTTCCAACTCATCACTATACATCATGCAATATGTATGGCTCTGAGTCCACATAGATCCTCATTTGACAGGGAGTGGTTTGACAGGACCATCTTGAAGTCTCTTGGCACATTGAACTGTTCCTGCAGGAGCAAGTGGCTTATCACTTGAAGATGATACAGTCAGTGGTGACAAGGGACCACCCTTTGTGGGAGATAAGTCGGGAGCTGCCAATGGCACAGTTGGTTGGACCTTCTCCTTGCCCTTCACCTTCACACATTTCTTCCCCACATTGAGCTCCACTTCATCCTCTGCAGATGGTGCTCACCTCTTTGATTCTCAAGGTAGCCTGCTAGCTGCCACCTTCCTCTTTTTCCTGTGAGCTGCATCTTCAAATTCTGTTTCAGGGATTATCTTGGGAGGCTCAGTGTTAGACTTGGAGGTCGGAAATTCGATTGTGGCAGCTGGCAAAGGCCAAGGAACCACTACAAATGGGTGTGTGGGAGGAGGTTTTGACAGTAGATGTTCAGCTGTATCAGCCTGCAATTCCTGTTGCTGAGAAGTCGAGGGCATTTTGTGGGTGTCTCCGGTCTTCTTGACTTTGGTGGTTGCAGCGCTGATCTTCATCTGAGAAGGCCCGTTATAATCTGTATGATGGTTGGCGAACATCTGTCTTGCACCAGAATGAAAGTAGTTGGAAGGAGGTGCTTCACCAGTGATTATGGGGAATTCTGATGCAATGAGTGCAGCTAAAATATTGAATTAATGAAAGTGTTGTTGCAGCACCAATGACTTTGAACATACCTCATGACGTTTTCAGTACCTTAGCCATATACATTGTTCCTGCCTTCAGAGCCTCTACAAGTATAAGGACTTCCTTCTGGGTCAGCCCTCTGATACCCTTGCTCTTTGAGTTGACATTGTGGTATTCCCCAGGTAAGAGACATTTGTGTGCTGGATATCCCTTAATGCAAAAGTTTTCGTTTGTGAGTGCACTGGGCATCATGATCCATGGGAAGTTTTTGAAAGATACAAACTTCCCATCCAGATTATCTAGTATAGCCATTTAGTCAAACACAGTATAAAGAATGTCCAAAAAAAAGACTGACCAACTTGTCAGCTGAGTTCCTGCTTGAGCCACTTGAGCAAATCCTCTCAACCCCTGCTAAGTTGATTCTCGGAGGTGTCATCCTTGAAGGATGACACAGCATCTACATCGCATATGTTGTCTTTGGCCTCCTTGAATGCATCCTCAACCACTGATAGTGATGTTTCATTGCTGTTAAAAGTGATTAACATGCGAAGTGAGTAGAGTGATGCTGACTGAGACCTACAATACAGTAAGCAACAAAACTATTGCAATGTTTGTATGAGATTGATTACTCTGGCTATATCATTACAGGGATGGCAGCTATGCAAATGTGGATGAGAGCAATATTGTAGCCCTACATCCAGGCTACAATAATTGTACTACACTGGAGACGTGAAAACATTTCCTTAAAAGGATATATGCAATTTACTACATGGTATGCATTGCAACAGTTTTGTTGCTGATATTTTTAAACATCAAAATCCTATCAATAGACATCAGTTATGTTATTTAGTATGTCTTATAATGTTATGTGACATGTAAAAGGGTCAATATGATATAAACAAAGCCAAATGGTGAACTTTCTCAACATTCATCATCATGAAAACCCTCTCTGCTGACAAAACCAACCAAATCCTTTTGTACCTTGATTTTAACCAATCTACAAGGGAGATCTCACATGCTACTAGTGTACACCATAGTACCATTATCAGAATTCACTCAGAACTTCATTCTGACCTTCAAAAGTCCTCTGGTGGTTGTCCTTCTGTCCTTTCCTCTCCCAATATTCAGCATGCTATTTGGGTAATCAGTACAGACAAGGCTAAAATGTCACTCAAGTCACAAGAGCACTTCAGGATATCAAGAACCAGCCTATGTCCTCTCAAACAACCCATCATTACTTGATGAAATCTGGTATGAAGCTTGTAGTGAAGCAAATACACCCTCTTGTCTCCTGCTAGCATGATACTCAGGCCCTCTCCTGTCCTTTTCCAAGCCTATTGCCTTTCATCTGGCCCCAAATAATTGATTTTGGTTTCATATGACCATATGGCTCTTTTCAAGTCATCTATTATCCAGTGCTGGTGACTGATAGCAAAGTATAGTCTTACTCTCTTATGACACTTGGATAGGAGAGGGTGTATTTGCTTCACTACAAGCTTCATACCAGATTTCATCAAGTAATGATGGGTTGTTTGAGAGGACATAGGCTGGTTCTTGATATCCTGAAGTGCTCTTGTGACTTGAGTGACATTTTAGCCTTGTCTGTACTGATTACCCAAATAGCATGCTGAATATTGGGAGAGGAAAGGACAGAAGGACAACCACCAGAGGACTTTTGAAGGTCAGAATGAAGTTCTGAGTGAATTCTGATAATGGTACTATGGTGTACACTAGTAGCATGTGAGATCTCCCTTGTAGATTGGTTAAAATCAAGGTACAAAAGGATTTGGTTGGTTTTGTCAGCAGAGAGGGTTTTCATGATGATGAATGTTGAGAAAGTTCACCATTTGGCTTTGTTTATATCATATTGACCCTTTTACATGTCACATAACATTATAAGACATACTAAATAACATAACTGATGTCTATTGATAGGATTTTGATGTTTAAAAATATCAGCAACAAAACTGTTGCAATGCATACCATGTAGTAAATTGCATATATCCTTTTAAGGAAATGTTTTCACGTCTCCAGTGTAGTACAATTATTGTAGCCTGGATGTAGGGCTACAATATTGCTCTCATCCACATTTGCATAGCTGCCATCCCTGTAATGATATAGCCAGAGTAATCAATCTCATACAAACATTGCAACAGTTTTGTTGCTTACTGTACATGAGCTTTCAGGTGTCCAATGATGGTATCGTTGTTGGCACAGCAGTGCATCTCAAAGAACTGATAGAATCATTTAATAAACATGAGTTCAAGTTTGTTGGCAGTGACTTACCCCTGCAGCAGCTGGTGTTGTATGTACATGACCTAGAGAGGCGTCCTGGTTGACTATGTTGCCACACAATACAATAGCTGACTCAAAACCAAATCTCATTGCAGCGGAATTGAGCTAAGGTCAATGTTAGCTAGCTCTCAATCCTCACAATGAGATGCCATACCAAGCTTGCCACTCATCTATAGAGCTTCTGGAAGGACTGAAGATGCTGATTGAGAGTTGAAGCAGCGCCTATGTGATGCACTTTGCTATATGCACTAAGAATATCCTGGTAGTCATTGGGGAATGCCTCCTTGAATTTTTCATAGCAGAGTCTTCACACAGCCATACCTGGATGATAAGTCAGACAACAACAGACTACATATCTATGTTTACTTACCTGGTGTGCCATGAACCTCTACATTTGCAATCTCTTTTCCTTTACCTTTATCATTCTCCAATCCTCCTGTGGTGAGCTGTGCAAGCTCTCGATCCTTGTACTCCTTGTGTTACGGCGAACTAGGATGGGCTCAACGACAGGTACTCGATAAGAGCACGCCTGAGGCTGGATCGTGTCCTTACAAATGTAAGGTTCTTAAGACAAGTCAGAGAGAGTGTCTCTGACTTGAATATCAGTTATCAGACGACTTAGGATTGGAGGTCCTAAGCGAAGGATAGTTCAGGTGAAGACCTAGTAGATTAAAGTGAAGAACTATCTAAGTACATGACCGAACTTTATAGAGCCTACTTTAGGGCAGGTACATATTCGTCATCAAGACGAGTCAGAGATAAGGAAGTGATGTCATCAAGACAAGTCAGAGATAAGGAGATGAGTCACCTAGCAACGGCAGCGGTGATCATGGTGTAATACAGATATAGGAAGAGTCGGTCTAATGATGGCACAGCATAGTGCGGTCATGACGTAATACACAGGTAAGATAGAGAAAAAGGGATAGGGGTAGACACAACTGTAACACCTTGAAGTAGTTTGCATATACATTCCAATAGTTGATGCTGTGAACCTCTTGTCCATGACTCTTCAGGTATGTGTTGATCACCTGATTGGTCAGCATCATGGTAGACTTAGATAAATCATTGAATGTGCGATCAATCAGCACAAACCCTTCTTTGAGCTTGTTGTTGGTCTCTGATGACCTCTGTCCGGTCAATGATTCCTGTGAACTAGACTTGCGATCAATGAGGTTTGTGTTCTCTTCTGGGAACCACTCTTGAGTGTGGGCATTGGAGGGGTAGTAGCTTAAGTCCAATTGTTGACTAGACACCCTGGTAAATGTGTTACCGCCTAGGGTGCCACGCAGAGCCATATTGTCGATATCCTTCAATGGTGTTGGAGGGATGAGATTGAGGGGAGGCAGAGGGGAGGCCCACTGTGTCTCATTCTGACCACTGGCTGCAGTCATTCCCATGACTGGGTCTGAGAGCAGCATAGAGGGAAATGAGTCATCTACCATAAAATTAAAGTTGTGTGTGGTATCATGACCTGGCCATGGAGGCTGTATGCTTAAACGAGCATAAAAAAGGTCATTGAGGTGTGCAGGGTGTTGTGAAGGAAGACCACCCAGAAAGGGTAAGGACTGGTGACTCAGTGGGAGTGATGCAGTATCACTGCTCACAGGACCAGCAGAAAAGGGAGAGGTCTGATGGCTGTTTGGAAGCAGAAGTGGGAGCGATGATGAGTTGCTGCTTGCACCACTGCCACCTGGCAAGGGAGAGGAGTGGTGACTATTCACATGTGGGAGTGTGAGCGAAGATGTATCACTACTTGCGGTGATACCATGACCATCAGTAAGAGAGGTCAGGGGGGAAGCAGACTGTGCAGGTTGAGGGGAAGGTACTGTATGTGCTTGGCAACAAATATTAGCCTCCCTTGCAATACTGACATTGCATGAGGTTGCCTTGATGTTAGTTCTAAGTCTTATTGGGGTGAGTTCAGGAAGAGGCGATAGATGTCAATGGCCACTGCCAAACTGCTTGTGAATAAAATCATCACCAGGTACCACAGAATACAAGTCCATGTAGCCGGGAGGGGGGGAGTATATTGTGGCACCAAATTGGTCTGCCATTTGTTGGGTCATATCTGTGGCTGGGTCAACAACATGATTTTTTTGAGTATTTAAGAATCACCTTTTTGTAGAAGAAGGATGTACAGTTAACACTGATATGAATGATGAGGACTTGTTTATTCACAAACAATCTATCAGAGCAATCCTGTCAGTATGATTCAGAGAGAAATTGAAGAACGTGATGACAGAGGACACTCACAAAGTCTAGAAGGATAGATTCTGAGAGGGGGGGAAAAGGGGGTATGGGCAGATGGTGATCCATCTAGGGAGACCCTTAAGAGAGGGAAGAGAATATTGTCACCAAGAGGTAGCAGGACACCAAAGGCAAGTAGAAAATGTACCAAGGCCCTATACTTATAGAAAATTTCATCCTCTGGCAAATTGGTGTGCCTCCAGACATGTCCCAACAGTGCACATAATGCTGCAGAACATACTAAACAAATTTAAACAAAAGTGATGAGATGCAACCCAAGATACTGGACCTCATAGAATGTAGAGCCTCAAGAGGGTATGGCATGTTTACTGAAGCTTGCTTGAATACCAAGAGGCACTGGATATGTTATGAGAGTAAATGAGAGCCAATGAAATTGAAGATACAGATCACACTCACCATAAAACATGAACGTGCAAATAAGTTCTATGCACAAACCTCCCACAACAGTCCTCAATGATTGCAGTAACATTGGTACCAAAATCTAAGCAATTTCATCATGTTGAACCCATGTAACAAGTTTGTCTGGTTAGCTGGCATCATTACAATACAAACCTCGTGTGTATTTTGTGTTCAATTTGACTGACACCACTATTTTCCCAACTATGGGACACAAAGCCAAGTACTTTACTTTAGCAGACAAACTGGCAGCACAATGTCAACAGCAGGCATCATACACTCGGACAGAACGGTGAGTTACTTACAATTGTAAGCCTGGTATTCACTCATTCATGTTGCAGAGTGAAAATGGCTCAACAAGCTCAGAACACTCATGCATATGCCAAGCGCCATGGTCAATGTGGATGACAGACAGCACCCAAGAACAAGCCACAGCCTCTTGAAACAACTCTGCTCACATTTGCAACTCTCGCTCTACTGAATTCCTATCTATTTCACCAATCCCTCACTGGTTTGGACTTGATCAACAAGTCTGACCTCTCACAGTGGGACAAGCCCCCTCCCTACAAATATGCACCTCCACCACAGACACCAGATGAAGAGTGATTCACTCAGAACCTTCTAGATGTGATGCACAGACATCAGTTGCATCAGTTAAGGGAGTCTTGCACTCATTGTGCAGTCATGTTTAATGCAGGAGATATTGCTGGTATTCTCAAGGAGATTCAAGAGGCATGAAAGACATTGATCGATGGCTGGATTGAGCTTGATGCACACATCGCAACCTTGCAGGAATGCACGAGGGAGAAGGTCATGGCTAAATGTTTTCAGCAGTGGCAAGTGAGGAAGATCTTGAACTATCAAGAGGAAGAGGATTTGTTAGCTAGTGGGGAGAATCCATATGTGTAGATAGAAGTGTTGAATTTATTGTGACATTTTCTATTCCACAGCTGGTAAAGAAAGAGTGAGACTGCAGAGATAACAACGCAGACAATGTATATCATCCTCCTGCTGTCTTAATAACCGAGGGTCTTATATAAATGTGTGTAAAATGTAATGACACCACAATTACACTAGGATAAGACTTCTTGCCAGTCCTTGATTAACACGGTCTATGACTTTTCTTCTTTCATGGTAGATAACATGTGAGTTCTTGGGAGGCTCACTAAACCAATCTATGTGATTACCTTAGCCAGAGCTTTTGTGTTATATCCCAACTTATAAACTTGTCTAGGATAAACCATCTAGACACTGGAACATGGTTCCTTATTAAGATAATCCTCTGTAGAGACTATGGTCTCAAATATGAATACATTGACCAAAGACTGGTTGGTCGAATAGGCACAAAGTGGTGAGAAACTGGTCTCACAAATGAACAGATTGACCAAAGCTCATATTGGTCAATATCAGAAACTAGGTGAGAAGCTGGTCTCAAATAAACTAAGTTTCTATTGTAAGAAACTTATGTAATCTCAAGGGAATGTCTTTTCCCTGCACTTGGTACTTCAAAGGGGCTTTCTTTGTAAGCAACAATCTTCACAGTGAGTAGCTCAAACTGAGATTCAAATGATTGCAAGTGGGAGACCCTATTTTTTGGGGGGAGAATGGGCCCTCCTTATATACATTTTGTGTGGGAATATTATGTAAGTAAAAAAGCGGAGCAATGTCATTAGAAGTGGAGCAGAATATTCCAGAAAGTGGAGCGGAACATTCCAGAATATTCCATAGGTGGAGTAATGACATCAGAGGTGAGTCATTGTGGAGCAGAACATTCCAGAACAAATGACATCATCATGACATCATCATGACATCATAACTTTCAACAGAATACTTGCAGGAGTATCTGTGGAGCCATATGACATCATTATGACATCATACCCTGTAGGTACAATTTTGTGAAGTATCTGATGGGTCAGAGCATCCTAATAGAAAAATAAATCAAGGAAATACTAGAGAAAACAACTCAGAAATAATAATACAATAACAAGACACAAAACACAGGCTTTTTAGATAGGTTTTTGTTAGGCTTTGAACTTTTCTCTATGGTTTTCTCTAGCCAAAGTGAATAAGCCAAAGGCAAGGCAATACCTTAACCTTCTTGCTTCACAATATCAACTAGGTCATTATGTGATTCCCATCTCACAAATGACTTTTCTTCAAGATATAATAAATTCATGAATCACAGAGGGGAAACTGAACTATATGACCAAGGTTTGAAACCAAGGTATGGGTTGACTAGCCTGATGCCTAAGCTAACAGACTTTGTCTTTTAGGGGGGCTACCTAGTAGTCATGTCCATGCATGATTCCCAAATCATGCAGGACACCACAAGCGCATAACATGCTGCCTGCGGAGTACTGCAGCAAGCGTCACTAGAACCCAAAGACCACAGTCATAACTGTTGTTTTGGAGACACTGGGTCTACAATGAATGACGTCAGAGTGGTCAATATCTGTGAAATGTAGAACTCACATTAAGAGGTTGAGCAACCCATCCCAAGAGGTCAGTCAGAATGTGATGGCCATGTTTATTGGCCACAGCAAACAACCAAGCAATTAATCTCATGATGTCCTTCTTCATCATCAGTAAGACACTTGGTCACATGAAGATGAGCTTACTTTGACATTGGTTTTCCAAGGTTTTTTTTCAGCAAGGCTATCAAAAAGGTGTAATTTCTTATTGAAGATGTGAATCACACAAATTACCCAATGTCCAATTGAGTCAGAGGGCTGGTGTATCAGAAGGACCCATACGTCCTTCTCCCAGTAATGTGTCCATGAAACATTCCGCCAAATGATATCATCAGGGGTGTTGTAATGGATGCATGGGAGGTCATGGGTAGAGAATATTGCACAAGAGAGGGCTGGGGATTTTAGTTCAGAGTAGAGCAGGGCAGCACAGCTGTTAATACACACATCATTGAGACACACTGTCAGAGAGCAGAGCAATTTGATATCTTTGGGATTGAATATTTGATGCAGGAATCCATCATGCGGAGGTCAGATACATATGACGAGTGTGTTGGGGACATTATTGTCCTGCTCTTGAACTGGGACACAAAGATTATCAACCAGTAAAACCTAGTGAGGGGCATTGTTAAGAACCATGCTCAAAGGAGAGAGAGACTGACTCAGAGGGGTTTGGCCTCAGCTTGTACACTGTGCCCCTTACCCGAGTATGTGCCCTTCATTTCAGAGGAAGTCCAATGATGGTCTGACGAAGTCCAGAGGACTTCCGGAGGAGCACAGGAAGTGTTCAAGAGAGTTCCCACTGCAAGGTAATACTTCTACAGGAAACAGGATGGAAGGATAGGAGGTCCAAAGGTCTGGAGGACAGGAGGACAGGAGGACAGGAGGACAGGATGTCTGAAGGTACAGAGGGCAGGAGGATAGGACATCCAAGGGTTAGGAGGATGAAATGTCTGAAGGACAGGAGGTCCAGAGGTACAGAAGACAGGAGGTCCGGAGGTCTGGAAGGAATAGGGGCTACATTGGACAAAGTCTGATGTAGAAGCAAACAGAGGTAGACTACCCTAAGGTAGAGTTGGAGAGAACAGGGATTGGACCTAAGTCCAGAAAGAGGGTAAGTGCCGGAAGGGCAAAGCTCTGGCCTAGGGAATCAATCCCTAGGCCTGATGAGTAGGACAGACTTAGGTGGACCAAAGTCCAAGAGAGGATTGGACAAGTCTAAGTTGGTGAGGACAGATCTAAGATGATATTCAGACTGAGGAACCACAGGAGTATCTACAGGGGTTATATACTGGACAATATCTGAGGGGATCAGTAAGCAAAGGAGCAAGGCTATGTACAAGCATGTGGAAACACATTAGTAAGTAAGACAGAACATAAGTAAATGAACTCAGAGATGAAGACTTGTACAAGGATCAATCAGCAAGACAGAAACAGAGATAACTGAGAACCGGAAAGGTGGAGATGCCTAAATGGGGATAGGAGCAGGATCTTGGACAGAGGGTGGGAATGGTCCAGAGATCTGGGGATCTGGAAGGCAGGGCAGAAACAGGACTGAGATATGTGAGGTGGTGGATGTGGTCCGGAATCTGAGAGGAGGTAAAGTCTGGATGTCTTGCTAGATGGAATGTGCATAGGGTGGACAGGATAGGGGATCCAGGAATGAGTTGGATATGGGGTCCGGAAATAGGTCCGGAAAGCGTGGGAATATGATGGGATCTATGTCTGGCATATGGGATATGACAGGTATCAGTGTTATGATATTGAATTTTAAGTTAATTAACATACCTTAGGAAGCTCCCACACGATGGTGGCTTTAATGTCATAGCCTATGTCAGTTGACTTGCTGTCATCGTCCATTAACATGCCCATCTGTCGCTCAAGAACATCAGTGAGTGTGGCTTGTTCCAAGCCAATCTGTGGTGGATCATCAAGGTCAGCAGACACCAGCTCATCTTCACCATCAAGATTGGGTATGGTGAGCCTTGTGGTATGGATCCAATGAAGGGCAGTGCTCTGAGAGCCTCCTGAGAGGGTAGCTGCAATGTCTACAGCTTCCTTAACCTGGGTAGTGAACCGTAATGAGGACGCAAGCAAGTTGCTCCAGCATGATTGAAGCTGAAGGAAGTTAGACCAGCACTGTTCTAGGGTGGCTGTAAAAGGCTCACCTGGAACCCCATTAGAAAAGAAGACTGGAGTTGAATGAATTTACCTACATTCTGGGATGCGAAGAGCAAACTTGAGTGCTGCAAGCTCTTCCCCAAAAAAATGACACAGATTATCAGCTTCGGTGCCAAGGCGCACCTGTTCTTCCCTGCATTGATCACATTTAAGAAGAGCATGGATGCAATCTCTAACGTCCATATCATCCAATCACCATGGGACCTCCCCAATAGATGGAGTGATCCACACGTCCTCCATGAGTGTGGGATTGGCATGGAGTTCAGTAAGCTTTGTGGGGAGGGGAGTAGGTAAAGGAATCGTGCAAGATGGATCATAGAGCGAATCTAATTGTTTGCAGTACAAATTGAATTTGCGTATAGCCGTCATTAGGGCAGGTTGGTGCTTAGTGATAGCCTTCCATGTCTGTTGATGCAGTTTCATTCCTGAGAGATATTAACAATCAAATAGAATGAGATGGGGGATGGACATGTTACCTAATGCTTGTTGAGCACCGCCAACGGCCTGATCTAACTTGTCCCACTTGAAGAAGCTGGCAATGGCACATTTGCAAATAATCAGAGTGACTCTTTCACAAGCATGACCCTCATAGCCTGCAGTGCTCAGTTCGAAATATTGAGATCAGCTTGTAGACCTACAGTGGCTCAAAAAACTGTCTGCATGTTTTGACATTTTTCACTATCTATGATATTGTGTGAGAACGAACAAATGCCTCAAGAACATGCTTATACCACATTGTAATATGGCTTCAGGGCTTTCATTTGAGCCCTACACCGTGGGAATCGGTGGAGATATGGTGGAGATACAAGGCTCACAAAATGGTGACTCATGCGGACAGTTTTTTGAGCACATATTAAAACTATATAAATCATCATTTATGACACCATAACAATCATGCCACCATTAAATAAATTATAAAGTGGTGTCATTATGTCATTTTAAAACCATATCTAACTATACAAACCAAAAATTTCCATATGTCATGGTTATATTCACTATGAAAGCCACCCCCCCTGCTCAAAGGAATAATATCCTCTCTCTTTCCTATTCTGGCCTCTCTGCTTGTCAAATTTCCTCTAGAACTGGAGTATCCAAGTCCACTGTGGCCAAGTTCATCAAAGAAAGTCACACAGACAAGGAAAACTTCTGTGAAGGGCATCCATCCAAGCTCACCTCTACTGATAGGAGGGCTATCATTCAACATATCACTACAGGAAAGGCTGATAATGCTGTCCAGGTCACCTATTACATCAATTCCACCATCACATTATGGTGGAATTGATGTAATAGGTGACCTGGACAGCATTATCAGCCTTTCCTGTAGTGATATGTTGAATGATAGCCCTCCTATCAGTAGAGGTGAGCTTGGATGGATGCCCTTCACAGAAGTTTTCCTTGTCTGTGTGACTTTCTTTGATGAACTTGGCCACAGTGGACTTGGATACTCCAGTTCTAGAGGAAATTTGACAAGCAGAGAGGCCAGAATAGGAAAGAGAGAGGATATTATTCCTTTGAGCAGGGGGGGTGGCTTTCATAGTGAATATAACCATGACATATGGAAATTTTTGGTTTGTATAGTTAGATATGGTTTTAAAATGACATAATGACACCACTTTATAATTTATTTAATGGTGGCATGATTGTTATGGTGTCATAAATGATGATTTATATAGTTTTAATATGTGCTCAAAAAACTGTCCGCATGAGTCACCATTTTGTGAGCCTTGTATCTCCACCATATCTCCACCGATTCCCACGGTGTAGGGCTCAAATGAAAGCCCTGAAGCCATATTACAATGTGGTATAAGCATGTTCTTGAGGCATTTGTTCGTTCTCACACAATATCATAGATAGTGAAAAATGTCAAAACATGCAGACAGTTTTTTGAGCCACTGTAGCACTGTGTCAAGTTCTTTCCTCAAATGAGCAGGGGCATCTTAAAGAACAGTTTTATGAGTGGCTATATGTGTAGTGTGAATGTACTTACATGCTCAAATTGAAAGCTGAGATTCCCGTTGATGCAACCATTGGGACTTCAACTCCTCGATGGGTATTTCACATCAGTCCAGAATGTCTTGTGCAGTTGACCCTTGATCATTGACACCGTGTTTCAGACATCGCTTAATCCAGTTGCCAAGGTCCCTGCACATCTCTAAGCCTATTGCAGCTGCCTGGTGATCAATCAGTCATATACAATGATGACACTAGAAGGCACCTAAAGATCAGTAGGTTAATAACAGAATGAAAAAGATTCTCACCAATGAGGATCTCTTGACACTGATCAGCCGAACAAACTGTGACCAAAGTCTTTCAGTTCCTTCTCTGTCTGACAACCCAAGTCCGATGCAGATGTGTGGATTATATACCAGTTGACATGCCCATTTGTGTCCATATGCATGCATTGCCATTGTGGTAAATCAGAGGTGGCTTGTTATATCTTCTGGAAGGATTTCATACTAACCTCCAATAAGCACAGGGAAACAAATAAAGACTGATGAATCTACCTATGAAAGTGACCACACAAGAACACACCCAACGTTGTATAAGGCGACAATGGTTGCCTGAGGGGGCAGCAACGAAAATAAGTGTTGGAGAAGAGCAACAGAATATTTCTGTTGCTCACTGGGTGAATCTATGTTAGCAAAAAACAAAGGAATGTTGTGGTGACATATAAGAGCCATAACCCCCATATCATCGAAACTGTCCATAGCAGCCTTCTGCTTTTTCCCATCGGCAGCCTCATAAGCATTTTCACATAAATCAATGGCTTCATCAGGTACAACAAGCTTATGTGCCTTAGGAGGACACTTACATTAGGAATCTATCTGGTGGCCAACTTGATCAATGAAATCCTTGGGGAGAAAGTATGTTGGGTCATAGAATGGTGGACAGTTGCCTGTGGAGTGCCAATGGAGGTGGTGGAAATTTCCATCCATCACAATATGTATATCACCACCATTGTCAGTAGATTTGCCATACAATACACCACCAAAACATGCAGGGCACTGCTGGACAAGAAGGGGCAAACATTGATTCTGGTGTAAGATGGTTGGGGAAGGGGCCTGCTCTGGAGGTTGCTGTCCATCAGATAATATCTTGGGAGCTGGCAAGAACACTTTGAACTCTGCAACATGATCCCAACACCGCCAGAGAAGTGACTCGAGTTGGCATTCAACCTTGATCTGCAAGATGTCAAACCATTGCACTGCATAGCAAAGCCCACAATGAAAAGGTTCACAAATCAATTCACCCTTTAGAGCAAAATGTTATTAGTGTTCAATAGCACAATGGTAGAATGTACTTTTTTGTCTGTCATTTGGAATCCTCAGTGGGAATAATATGTCTTGAGAGCAGGTGCAAGTGCATTGATTGCATCGCAAGTGTTAAGGTCATACTCAAGGGATAACTGAATCCGAAGGGCTTCAGCCTCAGCTCGTGCACTGTGCCCCTTACCTGAGTATTGCCCCTTATTTCAGGAAGGCAAGACTAACACATCCAGAAGGTTGGACGAGTAGCATAGCAGATCCGGATGACTTCCAGATGAGGGATAAGTATCATAGGGCTAATCCAGACGAGTCCAGACTAGAAACTAATGGTAATGGACTGTCGGAGACAGAGGTGGATACAGATAGACTATAGGAATCAATCCTAAGTCTCAGAGGGTGACAAGAGTAGAGATACTCAAGTCTGGAGGACGGGAATGAGTAGAACTAAGATGATATTCAAACTGAGGTACTACAGAGAGTTACAGGAGGTTATATACTATAGGTATCTAACAGAATGATCAATCAGCAGAGTCTGAGGCTATGTATGAAGCATATGGATGGTCTATTGGTAAGTAGAAATGGATCACAAATAATGAAACAGAAATGAAGCATAGGTAACAGATCAGGGGGCAGGACAGATATACAGATAACCAAAATACCAGAGTTAGGGGACTACCAAAAAGAGACAAGCGCTGGTTGTGGATTTGGATGAATTATGGACCAGACCAGATGAGTGGACAGATTGGATGACAAGATGTTGGAGGGAGATAAGATGTGGATAGGATCTGAGATGAGATAAGGATCGGATCTGAGATCTGGATATGCAGATATGACAGCAAGAGCACTCGAAGAGCATCCAGTAAAATGACAATAAGTCGAGGGAAACTGCCATACAAGGCTGGGATGGTGAGGTAGGGAACAAGCTGTGGTGGACAAGGACTTGGGGAAGTGAGGAGCAGTCGCAGCTCAAAACATCAACAGATGTGAATCCTATTGACATTTACACATCATTGCTAGTGTGTGATTGAGGACTTACAGTCAAAAAGCAAACAAATCAAAGTTGTTTGTTTCCCTGTGCATTTGAGAGTGGTGCACACAGATATGACTTCATTGACTCTTTCCAAGGGTTGGCCCTGTGTCTGTGCAGTATATTGAACTTGGGGCTGAATGAGGGTTGGGATGAGCACTAACCAGCTATGGTATAGTGTGTCAGTTGATTTGTCGGGTGAAACACAATGTCTGGACAGTGGCTGTTTGTGAAACAAGTCAGGTTCTACTACCTCAGGCACAAACATCTCCACATCATCCGAGTGAGTGATAGGATTGTCTGTGGGAAGAGGTGGTTCATTTGTTGTGCTCTTCGTATCCAAGGTTGGTGAGTGTGATGCTTGATGACATTCAGGGTTCATCAACTGGTCCATCTGAGCAAGAAGGCAGCACCATTTGGCCTCTGCACTAGGTATCTCAATCAACACTTGACTTTTCTTCTTGTTGCGAGCTTTATATGGGCTGACAAAATGGCAACCAAGACCAGAGGATACAACTTTGAACTTGTGAGAAGGACGCACCCTGCCTGGCATTGATGGTGACGAAGGCATCATTGTAGTACTAAAGAAACCACTGTAGAGTGGACCTAACATAATATGAAGTGAATGCAATGAGGCTCCTGAGAGCCAGTGGTGGGGGGTGAGGCTACCTGCAGGAGAGCATGAGGCTATTATGGGTGGCACCAGAGCTGCTGGAAGTGGTAAAGGATGATATCTATTAATAGATGGTAGAGAGGTCAGGTCTCATAGATAACTTTCCCATAACATAGAAACCAGGTCTCTGAGACCCTTTATTACTACCAAGAAGTACTGCCTGAGGTGACCAGTAGCTTGAGTGGACAGAACTGTGTACTTCACAGATGAACTGTTACAAAATACTTCTGGAGATTACTTCATCCCAGAACATTTTTTCTATGCCTCTCCACCTGTAGACTTAGATGATGACAATGGCAAATTCCACAAGAATTCAGTTACAAAGCCCTTATATGTGCTTGGTTGGGCGGTCAAACAAACAGAGGTATGTCATCATTGTGCACCTACTATGATGTATATGTTCTAACTGCACTACTAGGCTGGATTTATCATTAATGAGGAACAAGAAATCATACCCACTGTGACAATCAGACCGGCGCTAGGCGCGTATGATCAATAGCACGGTTTTTCTCACCTTCAGAAAAAGGAGATAAAGCGTGGATCATTAAATCCATATATATCAACCCATCCGCTCTTACTCTGGTCCGGTCCTAGGAATCCATCCTCCCATGTCCTATCCATGTCCACCTATCTCTGCTGGTGCGTTATTTTCCCAAATGTCATTGCTAAACGAGCTGCAGGTCTTATTACATGACTACTCACATTCCGCAGCACATGATGTTTTACTACCTATAGACTCATTGCGTGCTCGCTAACCATGCTACAATTCTTGCCTATGCATTCCGGACACTCATGTGCTACGATATAAATGACCACAGTACATACAATGGAGTAGTTTTTCTTCCCCCGGAATTGGTTCTATAGGAGAGTGATTCTCGTGTTATTTGTAGACCTTGTGCTATCCATCTATTTTGTTCCTTCCTGACAATCCTGTGTGATTCAACCGTTCTGAAGTCCATACCACTAGGATCTTACCCTTAAGCTCAGCAAGAATACTCAACCCATGACTGGTAGTTTAGCGCTATTCTTCACTCACACTATATCCCTTGCAATGGCTCCATAGAGTGCAATTGATTTTTATTAACAATGGTCAATTTTTGCCTGCACTCCTGGTTGATTCCTTGGTATAGGAATTCAGAGGTATACCTACAGCCAGCATTCAAGTTTCTTAGGCTGATATAGATTTTAACCCCTTTGCTCACTTACTTCCCTCATGCATAATTGAAGGAAGTGCTTCAATAGCAGTCCTCTCAGGCCAATCAATTAAACTTGCCCCTCTTAGGATAAGTAGTGCTAGTTGCTAACAGCCTAGTACCTATTACTTCTTCACACCACATCTGCTTTCATGCAGTCCTTTGAAGACATTGCTGTGACTTGGGGTGAACTCAATTGTGGCCTTACTGGTACATTTTACATTTACTTGTCTCAGTAACTGCAAGATTAACATGAGATAAATAGCCTTGTCAACTAAATATGCAATGCCTTTGCCAAATCCACTGTGTGCAAAGGCAAATGGTCACATAGTATATATGGTCCCCCTTATCATCTTCATGGACAACATTTCCAGCAACATATCAAAACAATGGAACAAACACCACACAATCTACATGTCAAATGTGAACCTCCCACATGAAATGCTAGAGAAAGAGTTTTTTGTGCACTTCGTTATGTCCTCACCACATGCCGCTCCCATGGAGCTTATGTGGGCAATGAAACAGTTCATTTGGTTCATTATTTTATTCACTCACTCAGATTGAAGCTCTAACTAGATTTACAGTAATGCAGCTACATCTGGGGTCGCTGCATGGGATTGCAAAGACAACAAAGAAGTGTTATTGATCCCATGTGGGCTTTTCATTGCTGGTGACAACCCAATGCAAGCAGAAGAATGTAGTCATTCAGGATTGAACTGCAACTACTTCTGCCAGACATGTGACATTGGTGGAACAAAGGAGTACAAAGCATCTAAGGATGGCTATAGCAGCTTGTTTGCAGTAAGAACATAGTTTGATTGTATTTCAACTACTGATGATGTGATTCAGTCAGGCAATCTTCAAACACCAGAAGGCACTGCTGTGAACATCTGGGAACAGTTTGAGATGGCGCTGAAGCCTGGTGCTACTGAGAAAATCAAGAATTTGGTATCAATGACAGGCATCTGTGATACAGCCTTGAATTCCATTATGAACACTCTTGTAGAACTTGAAAAGAAGCTTCGAAAATGTACAGTTGGCACTCAAGCAAAGTCTGAAGCTGAAGTCACAGCTGCACTGGAGAGAGAATTTGAAGAGCTTCTACAAGGTGACAAGCTCAAAGACACCCTCAACCCATTATTGGGAATGAATGGTCAGTTTTTTTCTGAGTCATTGGCATCTTGTTCATGTTTTTGCTAGGGCTTGACATCCACATGGATACACCAACAGAAATACTGCACACTGTGCTACTTGGCATTGTGAAGTATTTTTGGGGACAAACTGTATTTTTACTTGACAAAGCAAAGCTTATGGACATTTTTCAAACCTGTCTCCAGTCTGTTGACACAGATGGACTGAATGCTCCATGCTTGAATGCAGGATACATCTGTCATTACAAGGGTAGTCTGATTGGAAAGCACTTCAAGAGCCTGTCGCAGGTGATGCCATTCATAATCTATGACCTTGTCCCTTCAACAGTCCTCAATGCCTGGACAATAATGGGCAAACTCATTGTACTCATCTGGCACACAAAGATTCTGAATACCAAAGCCTATCTTGTAGGTTAATTTATGTGTATTTGAAGTTGTAGTTCTTATCCTCTGCATCTTCTAGGCAAACCTATCTCGGACAATCAAAGACTTTCTTAATGTCACAGCACAGTGTTCCCCCAGCATCATCATCAGCAAACTGAAATTCCACTTCTTGATCCACCTCCCAGCATACATTTGTCAGTTTGGACCCACGATTATATTTTCAACCAAACACTATGAATCATTCAATCACATTTTCCATTTGACATGTATATACAGCAACTGTCAAGCTCCAAGCCGTGACAGCTGCAGGATATTTGCTCATCAAGATATTGTCAAACATATTGCTACAGGTGGATTTTGGTATGACTCCAAGACCTCAAAATGGGTTTGAGGAAGTCAAGAGGTTCTTGGATATATATACAATCACCCAGAACAAGTGCAATTGCTTGGATTGTTGCACCTTGTTTGTAGCCCTCCTGTACCTGGCAAATCAAGTGTATTGTGCCTTGCTTTATCTTTGCTAATGATTTACATAGGTTCCAGAAAGGCTGAATCTGCTATTGGCACCAACAGAAAAACAACCAGAAAGGGTGCAGTGGCCTGGAAGAACACTCGTTGTGCAAAGATCTTGAAGACTGTGAAGCCCGGCACTAGTTATTTTCACAGAAAATCGCTTGTAGCAAGCAAGGGCAATGTTATGCATTTAAACAGTCATGTTGGCTTCTGTCAAGTGACAAATGGGCAGGTGAATGATTTCTGATCATGTTCATGACTGTTAATTCACAAGATATCACTAGATGGCAATTGGACAGATTCTGGAGATTCTGATGTCATCCGATGATCGCAACAATGTGTCACACATTGTGCTGCAGCTTTTTGCATTTGCCCATACACTACATCCCTCTGTTCATCTCCCATGTCTCAACCTTTTGGATGACAAGGTAGTTGTAACAGCGGCAGTAGGTCATTCTACAAATGCACAAGCTATACTGACTACTGTCACACAGGATATCAAATGTGTGATCAATCTCCAGCACAATTGTATTGATTCACAGTGCACAGACACCCTCCAGATGGCCATGTGTCAAGAATGGATTGAGACTTTGCGAATGATACCTACCATCCACCATAAGTCCACTCCAAATTATTTTCTCAATGCCTACTCCATTCATAACTACAGTTATATCTGTCTTATCATTCCAGAGATGCTTCATGAAACACCACTAAGAGTTACTAACATTGCAGAAGTTCAGGCAACTACTGTACAGCACATGAAGGAGAAGAAGGCTTTGAAGAAAGCTGGTGACACATTGCAAGAAGCTGAAAGAACAGAAAACGATATCCAGGGCCCCTTGATGCCAGCACCCACATTTGATAAACCTCCTGCCAGACCAAAGACTGCTGCAAAGCCAAAAGCTAAGGCAGGCACTGGCTCCAGCACACAAGGAAGGAAGACCACAGCATCATCTTGTGCTGGCCAAGCCATTGCTGGATCCTCTGTACTTGAGGCACCATCCACTCAGCAAAACCCCCTGGTACAATCCACTTCTTTGGTCCAACACACTCAGGGCCAATTTATACTGCCAAAAAATGCATTCCCTCCACTGCAATCCTTCCGCCCCTCTATACCCCATTTGCACCATCTGCTACAATTGCACTTTCCTCCAGCACAGCCATACCTTTCTGTACCTCAACCATATCCTCAAATGCACTACCCTTATCCACTGCCACCAGCTCCATATATTCACTCAAGTTATCGCCAAAGTACAGACATGCACCCTGCCAATGCATGGTTGGTTCCCACAGCCTCAGGCTCAAACTTTCATATGATGCCACCTCATGAACTGCAGTTCCAAAGTCTCCCAAACCCCTACTTTCAGCTGCCTGGCTATGGTTAGAGATGACAAGGACTGAAGAATAAGGATAAGTTATTGTCTTGAAAGTCAAGCTCCCCCATCTTATTGCTTATGCACTTCACTGCACAAAACTCCATTCATCTATAATCTATACCACTTTTCTAGCAAAGCTCCCCCACTTTATTGCTTATGCTCTTCACTGCACAAAACTCCAATCTTCCATGCTTATATCCTAACTCATGGGCAAAGTGTGCCATCAAGAAAAGTACTACTTGTATACTCAATTCACACTCTCCTTTGTTTCCAAGTGCTCTGTGCTTTCATTATGCTCAGCTCCCTGGATTTCAACCCTCCCTTGCACACCCTCAAAGTTACGAAGTTACGTTATGATTAACTTCAACCAAATTTTCAGGGTGCTGAGACATTCATTCACCATCACTCATGCAACACCAGGCAGAATTCACTGCATTTTCCTCATCAATGATCTCTCACTATCCTGTGCATCCTCATGGTTCCAAACCTCCAGCTGGTACACAGAACAGAGGTTTGGGGGGTGGTAGTAGTTCTCTGCTAACACCAGACATTAATTTGTTGAGGTCTCAAGGAAGGAGTGCCTCAACGTCAGGCAGGCTTCAAGTTGCTTCTTCTGCATGCAGCTCTGGAGCAGTGGGAGATATTGGTCAAGCACGATTGCCACTCAGCACCTTTGAAACATCCACTTCACAATGCCAGACTGGCATTGGACATGGCAGCAGCATCCAACACTCTCCTGAATTGTCTGACAACTCACTCAAGGGGCCTATTAGTGCTGGTGTATGTCGCCAAAGGACATACTCTGATGCTGGCTTGGGCGATCCCACTGTGCTGACACCCTCATGTGCAAAATGACTCAAAACATATGCAAAGAAAGTGGCTGAGGAGAATGATGTGAGTTGCTTTGCTTGATGTGCATACTCTTTTTGATTTTAATTTTTTAGACCAGTGGAATATATTATATGCTCATTGATCTAAAAGTATGCATGATGAAAATGGACTCGACTCAAAAGGCTGCTATGCTTGCTGATGTCAAAGAGTTGTTAAACTTGAAGGACTTCAAGGTATTTTAAATTTCTACACTACAAGTCACCAGGCTAATTTAATGTTATGCAGTCTGGCCTCCAAAATCGTCTGACTGCATGTCTCCTGTCACCCAACCTGACTGCATATAAGACAGATGTGCTCCAAAACATCTCAGTAACCTCCTTTGATATCAACTATCTCATGAGACTGACACTGTGACAGACCTTTATTAAGGACAACAGCAGCATCTTCAAGGTTCCTTCATCACTATTCGAGGATGTAGAGCTCAGCGCAATATTCACAACAATCATTAGTGATCTTCTTTCATCAATCTGAGGCAGCATGAAGTCCAAGGTATGCACCTAAGTACTTTGTGCTGAAAAATTCTCAAATTATCACTCAGTTGCTCTCATCTATCCGAAAATGCCTGAGCATAATGGACACATCAAAATCGCTTGCTCATGGCTGTATAGAGGTTGATGCTGTTCATTGGAATAGGATCGCTTTTTTGGTATGTTTTCATTATATCAGATATTATAGGATGATCACATTCAACATTAGCAGCGCTGCTTGCATGTCTTCATGATTGGTATCAGTGACCACAGAAATCTTTTGCTGAAGGCTCTCTACTCAAAATCACTCATACCATCTCTCCACTCGGCTGTCCATGCTAGAATCAGACCAAAGCTTGGCATTGACATCAACAGCATCAAGTGCAAGTTGTATGGTGATGAGGTGGATCATGATGGTATAACCACCAGATAGCACATTGGTGACTGATGAACATGGGGAAACCCAAGGTACATGTGCTACAGGTGACAATGGTGATTCTGCTGGGACTGACAACTTGGATGAGCACTTGGGTGGGAATGGTGATGCGGACCAGGACTATGAGCTTGAAGATAACAAAGGCATCAATACCACCATGTTAAACAGCTGGCCACTTCAC